CTAAAATGGACTACATCCTGTGTATGATTCCTAGATCTTAAGAAGGGGACTGCAAGAGGGGAGGAAGAAGGTAAGTGAAATAAGTACATTCCCCACAATGATTATGGGGGCAACTAGGCACAGTGATGTGTGTGTGTGTAGGAAGTTGGTTCTAGACTTTTTCTCCAAATTATTTCTGCTCTGTTGTATCCTCAGTTTAGTGTCCTTAGGATGAAACTCTGTTGAGAAAGTCATAAAAGCTGAGGAGCAGCTCTTTTTATACTGGGTTAGGTAAAGGTAAAGGTTCCCCTTGACATTGAGTCCAGTCGTGCCCAACTCTAGGGGCCGGTGCTGATCCCCGTCTCCAAGCCGTAGAGCCAGTGTTTTGTCTGTAGACAGTTTCCTTGGTCACACGGCCAGCACAACTACACACAGAATGCCATTACCTTCCCACTGTGGTGGTACCTATTTATATTCTCGCATTTGCATGCTTTTGAACTGCTAGGTTGGCAGGAGCTGAGACAAGTGACGGGAGCTCACTCCATCGCGTGGATTCGATCTTACGACTGCTGGTCTTCTGACCCTGCAGCACAGAGGTGTCTGTGGTTTAACTTGGAGTGCCACCACGTCCCTTTTTACTGGGCTAGCACAGTATTTGGAAACTTGTAAAGGTGATTTTGAGCAGTGAAAGCTTTTTGCCTTGTTTAATCCTTTCTTAATCTGCAGTAAATTATTGTTTCAAAAATGTTACCCTGCCTTGATTAGAGTGGCCACTGTTCTAGGATTTTCCCCCTTCGCAACAGTGGTTTAACTTGGAGTGCCACCACGTCCCTTTTTACTGGGCTAGCACAGTATTTGGAAACTTGTAAAGGTGATTTTGAGCAGTGAAAGCTTTTTGCCTTGTTTAATCCTTTCTTAATCTGCAGTAAATTATTGTTTCAAAAATGTTACCCTGCCTTGATTAGAGTGGCCACTGTTCTAGGATTTTCCCCCTTCGCAACAACAACATGCTCTGTTATATATTTGTTATCTGTCAAGTAAAGTGAAAGGTGTTGTGTGCCACCTAACTTCGAAAATTTCTTAATTTGCCGTGATGTGGCATTCTCCTGGCATGTAGATCTGACCTATGCCAGTGATCCTCCCACAAACCATGTTCACAATGGGAATTAACATTTGTCTTCTGTAATTCACCAGCCAGTTTTTTTAAGTCTGTTTTCTTTTCTGCACACCTAAATCTTCCCTGTAGGCACATGTTACGTTAAACTTGTCATATTATATAATTATGTGCCATCAAGTCAGTTCTGACTTACAGAAACTCTTTTCAGGGTCTTCTAGGTAGAGAGTACTCAGGTTTACCATTCCTTTCTTCTGGAGTATCCCTGGGACTGTGCAGCTTGCCCCCAAGGCCACACAGCCTGTCTTTTCTCCTGGGAGGAGCAACGGGGGATTGAACTCCCGACGTCTGGCTCCACAGCCAGAGACGTATTCACTTAGCTATCCAGCCAACTATGTCAACTTAGCTGTTAGCAGCTAAAGTGCAATCCAGATTTTAAATAAAAATAAGAACATTACCATTGATATCAATAGGATCTGGAACAATCTCTCTATGGAGTGAATCCAAATAAGGGAAAAGTACAGTCTTATTAAGAGGTTACTGCGTATCTCTTTAAAAGTATGAGAATATATGAATTTAACTGGAAGGTATAACTAACTGCCAGTCTAAACCCACAATATTCACAGTAAGTAAAGCCACTTCCTATTAACGGTATATTTACAGTATATGAAATATAGGAAAGGGTAAAATTGGACAAGAATAATTGCCTAGAGACAACAACAAATTTATACTTCATCATTTCCTTTTAAGGTATGACTCCACTCAATCTGACAGGACACAAACTCTTGATATATTATTAGTATATAGATGCCTGAGGTATATTTATAGGATGTAAGAAAACATACTACACACTTTATACATAATTTTGCCTCATTTAGCTGTAGGAAGTTACGTAATGCAGAAGAAGCAAGAAATATTCATGGCAGAAAAGAGTATTTCTCTCTCTGACTGAAGAAATCCATGCTTGCAAACAGTCTCAGAAACTCATTACTTTGGAAGTTACTTTTTAAACCACAGTACAATATTGATCTATTTAGCACAGCCATATACTACAGCCATATACTCTAACAATGAAAATTACTAAAAACTTATATATAGTTACTATTAACTATGGTTTATGGTTTGGATGACAGGCTAAACCATGTTTAATATGGAAGCAGATACTGCTCCCCACTGTCATGCTGCAGGAGGGGAGAAAGGTAGAGAGCAAGTGACCTAACATTCAAGGGAACTGTTTTCTATGAAAGGTAAAGGTAAAGGTTCCCCTTGACAATTTTTGTCCAGTCGTGTTCGCCTCTAGGGGGCGGTGCTCATCCCCGTTTCCAAGCCATAGAGCCAGCGTTTGTCCGAAGACAATCTTCCGTGGTCACATGGCCAGTGCGACTTAGACACAGAACGCTGTTACCTTCCCACCTAGGTGGTCCCTATTTATCTACTTGCATTTGCATGCTTTCGAACCACTAGGTTGGCGGGAGCTGGGACAAGTGACGGGCGCTCACTCTGTCGTGTGGATTCGATCTTACCACTGCTTCATCTTCTGACCCTGCAGCACAGAGGCTTCTGTGGTTTAGCCCACAGCGCCACCACGTCTCCATTTTCTATGAAACTAAGCTACAATTAAGGGTACTAACAAAGCCATTCAGTAAGTGTGTTTAGGATTGAAACAAAAGACAAGTTGTGCTAATGTCATGGTGTAAACCGACAAACATTAATGGGGCCAATATTGTATGAAAAAATTAATCTATTTATAACAAACTCTTATTCCACAAAATATCATAGAAGGCTACTATAATGTATATTTAAATATTTCTTTGTTGGCAACCACTATGGCCAGAATCTTTTTGCCCATTTAAAATTGTTTAAGGGAAATCACGTAATTTTGGAGAGAAACTGCCACTCATTAACAAAGTGCTGGTTGCATTCCTCAGCAAACACATATTGCATGAAAGAGTGCATGCCAAGGAATGCAACCAACAACTTGTTAATGAGCAGCAATTTCCAAACAAGACTTGTGTGATTCCTTTACACAGTCATGAATTGGCAACATAATTCTGCCCTTTATTTTCCTATGCACACTAGATGTTATCATTTAATGGTAAAATGTATTACATTGAATTGAAACCTTGTATTTAATCACTCACTGTACTTTCTACTTTCAAAGGGGGACTCACAAAGGATATACAAAATGCTTTTGAATGAAAATCCAGGTGCTAATAATTTTGTGTCTTGTGTTATATTATCAAGAAAAGTGTATACAAGTGGGACACCAGAGATGAAAAGTGTACTCTCCAGTTACACCCAGTGTTATTCTATAACTGGTAGCTTTAACCAAAATATGACACAGATCTTAATACCCAACTGTGTTAACTTGAAACCCCTCTTTCGCTCAGTTCTAATTCATACAGCTGCACAGAAAAAGAGCAAGGTCAGAGTGGAATTAAGCAAAGCAAGCAAAATAATCTAAAGTTCAGCAGAAAAGAACCATCATGGACAAAATTCTTCTTGGATGATATAGCCAATAAAGGAATGTCAATTATTTAGAACAGAACAGGATCTGACCCCTTGTGCTCAAATTTACATTCATAAACTTATTTGCATGACCCACAATGCAGAGGAATGAACTGCTGAAATGACAACAACACTGCTTCCCCCCAGTTGGGATTGCAAGCACTGGAAAGGACAAAGACCATCTGCTTTCTATTTTGTTTGGAACTAGCAAAAAAATCGCTGGTTGCCAAAACGGTTCAGGACAATCCCTCCTCTATCCACCCAGCAAGCATCTCCTTGACCTGCTCCTGCATAATGTCTTCTCCTGATAGGCACTGCACTTTGTCAGGAGTTGCTTGTTTAATGGGATGCACTCTGTGTTTACCGCAGCCTTTCATGAAAGAATATCCCAGTGTCTCAAACTTCAAGAGCTCAGTAGTAAATACTCTGCTGCAAGACAATCGCAGACATAAGGGAGTCCTTTTTTGTTCTAAGAATTTTTATTTGGAATCAAAAACACAATTACATGGAACCATTCATAGCCATGTTTCATTTGAGCCCAGTCTTTTACCATCAGTCCATTTTCTGTCATAGAACACAACCCTGAGAATCTGGATTAATCTACTTTATGTGCGTTACAAGCCTTCAGAACTGAACTACTAATTCAGTTTCCGTTCCAATTTCAGCAAACCAGCTACATCAATGGAAGTGAAGACTAACCACATTTCCACAGATTCAGTGAATGTGGTTGGGTCTAAAGGCTGGATTTAGGCCAAGGTCCTTGAGCGTGGGCTTAAATCTCAACCCCAGTAGTCTTTCACAACAAGAGCAGGCCCACCATTTGTACCTAAATGTCGACTACCCCACTTTGCCATTGATCCACTTTAGTCGGAAGGGACCATGAGCTCTCGGCCGGCACCTCTGAGCATGAACAGAAGACCCACATCCTCTAGAACAGACCCAGGGAATCTTGGAATTTACCACCTTCCAGTCAATTGGAAGAGTTTCCACTGGGAAGAATGAGCAAACGGGACTTAAGTCACTGCCTCTGAGCATGGGCAGAAGGCTCCTCCCTCACCAAGGAGGAAGGGCAAACCAGCTCCAGCCCTGCAGCTGGCATGAAGCGAAGACGGGTCTCCAGCCCGAAGAGCAGCCCCGGCGAGCGGGCTTGAGCGGAGCCCCAGCCGGGCTCCCTTGCAGGACTGAAGCCACCGCGGCGGGCTTTCCGGCCCCTTCCTCTCCAGCGGTGACAGCGAGGGGTCGGAGTCCTCCTCCAACTCCTCCTGCCCGGTCACGGCCCCCTCCTCTCGGAGAAGAGCCCCCCCCCTCATTCCCACATGGTCTCGTCCTCGCCTCGCTCTCCCTCCCCCCCCCACAGCTCCCCTCACACACACACTCCGCGCTCCCGCCAGGCACTTACATAGAGGGAGTCGACGGGGGAGCCGTAGAAGTGCAGCGGGGTGCGGAGCTCGAGGGGAGGGGAGCTCACGCCGTCGTCCCCGGGCTCCAGCTCCGCGTCGCCTCGCCCCGCGCCGAAGGGAAAGAGGAGGGAGAAACCCCGCGGGACCGCCAGCGCCAGCAGCGCCCAGAGGAGGCTCGCGCGCCCCATGCTCGCCCTCCCTCGGCTGCGCCCCCAAGACGCTCCGTCGGCGGCCAGTTCCGGGGGCGAGGCGAGGCGAGAAGCGTACAAGTTGTAAACCCCGCCGGGCTGAGAGGAGGAGGAGGCGGAGGGGGGGGAACGGGGGAGAGAGAGAGAGAGAGAGAGAGAGGAGGGGGAGACGCTTGGCTCGGATGGAAAGCCAACCAATCCACGGAGAGGGTTTTTTTAAAAAAAATCCACCCTATCGCAGGGAGAGAGGAAAGGCTGCGGCTTCCTTCCCAGCTTCTTCTGCATCGGTTCCCAAATCCATGAGAAATCTCGGGAGGACGCGCTCGAGGAAAACCTTTGCTTAGGGAATCTCCGGGCGAGGAGCGTTGCGCCAGGCGCGCCAAGTCACCTCCCGCACTGACAAACTCTGGCTTTTTTTTTTCCGCATCTGCACGAGTGACTTCGTGCGTGAGCATCAACGCTTGGAACGTTATTTTGTGGGGAAGGAACTTCCATCTCTTTACTCGTTGTCGCCACCAGGGAACGTATTGCTAGCTCCTTATATGTACGCGGTGCTGCTGGTGCTGCAATCGCGCCTTGGGGAAATGCGGGAAACGATTCCCTCAAGCACTCGCTGAAGATTTAAGTTGTCAAACCCATCAAGATTAATAACATCAGCCAATTACAAATAAATAGTGCCTTGCCCTACGACACCTAAAATTTGCTGCTTGGAAAGGGGGAAAGAATGGCCGCCTTCATTGTCTTGCAACTGTAAGCAGCTGGTCAGAGATTTTGTGTAGAAATGCTGTGAGGGTAGGGGATGAGCTTGAAATGGCTTTTAAGGTAACTGAAAGAAGAAAATGCCAAAAACAGGATTGAAGGTGAATGTTAAGATCAAAAGGATAACTAGAGACGAACTAGACAACTTTAACACTGACAATGAAAAAATTGCAGGATTGAAGCTGAATGTTAAGAAGATCAAAAGGATAACTAGAGACGAACCAGACAACTTTAACATTGACAATGAAAAAATTGAAATAGAGATCTTGTGCACCTTGGTTCATTCATCAGTCGAAATGAAGAAATCAGTCAAAAAATCAGAAGAAGATTGGGACTAGGAAGGACAGCAATGAAGGGACTAGAAAAGAACCAAGTGTAAGGATGTGAAAACGATGTGCAGCTACTTCTGAGCCTCTGGTGGTAGGGTAGATCATTGCCAGGAGGTTCCAGTCTATCACTGGAGGCTGGAACTGGGATGAAGGAATATGGTAAACCTAAATAGGCACTTAATTTTGTTACTCATTACATCACTAGGTAGAAGTTTAATCTAAACTATTTGAAGCACAAACAGATTAAATTAAGGACTAAATCTTGTCTGTTGACTTTTGCATTCCACTTTGAACCCCCAACTCCTCTCTTTATCAGATATTCCTGGGGCAGAGAGTTCGGCTGCCTTTACTCCTGTCCTTTTAGTTGAATCAGATGACTCACCAACTGTCGCCACACAGACACACACACACACTCTCTCTCTCTCTCAACTTTGTCTGGGGAGTTGATTTTAAACAAACAAAGTCTTTGCTTCTGGTATATCTTGTCCTTTGATATACGTGTATCCTGTCTTTATAGTACTCTCAACATTTTGAAAATAACTTTTAAAGTAAAATCCACATGGTTCAAATACAGGGTAAATAAGATGGGGAGGGGGGAGAATCAGTTTAAGGATAATAACAAGCAAATGAGACTGTATTACCTAACAATGGCTAAGTACATTTGCAGCTCTGTTCAAGTGGTTGTTTGGCAGGCAACAACAGAAAACATCATTATTCAATTATTTTGAGGCTGGAAATGTAGTTATTTCAGAGCTCTTTGAGAGCTATGTAAGAAATGCTACAAAAGTGTATCTTGTTACACATAAAAAATAGGTCTGTTTGTAATTTTACTCGCATGAAATGTGGTGACTTTGCCAAGTGTAACAAGTCCCTGTGAACTGGGCATCAGCTCACTGAAAGGATGATTGTGTTTGATCCATGGATCCTACTGCTTACTACATGCAGCTGGAGAAAACAATAGCCATATTCCTTTCACTCTAATGAATTCCAAATCAGGAAACCGTCATGAAGGCATTGCCAGAAGATGAGGAACCTGAGAAACACGTCTGCCACCTATTGCTTACATTTAGGAATCTCAAGTTAACTGTTGTTGTTACCTGCTGTCAAATTGTCTCCAACTTATGGCGATGCTGTCCTCAACATCTCCGGTCAGCTCTTGTGATGCTGTCCTCAACATCCCCGCTCAGCTCTTGCAAACTCAAACCTTTGGTTCCTTTAGGGAGACAATCTATTTCATATTCCACCTTCCTCTTTTCCTCGTGCATTCCACCTTGTCCATAAAATCCTCTTTTCTGATGATGTGCCTGAAGTAGGACAGCCTCAGTTTCGTCATACTTGCCTCCAGAAAAAGGCGTGATTTGCTCCAGGAAATTCTGTATGGTAGGCAAAACAGCATAAACCTTCCAAACACATTCTAGTATTCTATTTAGGGTGACATATTATATTCAAAGCTGCTCTTTTCTGCTTGACTTTATGACTTTTTTTAAAGGCACATGAAATCTGGTTCTCAGGGCAAGGACAAAATATTCTCTCTTTAGCTCTTTATCATTCTAGTATATTAACTTGCAAACTGGATGTTTACAGGAATGCCCAGCAACAGAGATTCAGAAATTTCAGGTTTTATCCCACATAGCAACTTTTCAATCTCCCATCAACATCCCTTATCTCTTCCTAACCACATCGCCCCTGGATCCAAGCACTCTGAGGGATGTGCAAAATTTCCCCCATCCCATTCTTTTTCTGTTTACAAGTGAATTTATTTTCATCTATTGTGTTCTTTAAAATCATACTGATTGATTCATTTGCATTAGTTTTCAAGTGTGGTTTTATTACTGGCTTTATTCATATAAATGAAAATCCTTTAGCAGAAGGAAAAATGTGTTGAAGTCTCTCTCTTACATATAACAGCTAAAGATAGAATGAGGGCAATCCTCAGCCCAGTCCATGAAAGCTTGCAATTGGGTTCTTTTTTTTTTTTAGTGGTCCAATAAAAGGTGTCACCCACTTGTGTGATCTTGGGGGCTACACAGCCTTTTCCTTTTTTTTCTTTCTGGACTATATAAGATATCATGAATGGCTGCACATAGTACTACCTGCAAGATGATGTGGACTCTCAAGGCCAACCACAGGGATTCTTCACATCTGCCAGAGGTGGTTACAATCTGAGGAAACATTTTACGCTCAGCAGGTAAAAACATGGTTTTGATTTTAATTTGGCATAATTGGCTATTTCTCCCTGATGAACAAACCTAATTACTGCTATGTCATTGTGCTGCCTTCCCTGCCCCCTCAACCAAGAAGAAACTGGAGTTTCAAAGCAAGCAATGTGAGGGGGTGTGTGGAGGGGAATCACAGAGTAATAGGTAGCCTACCTTTGGGTCCTAGAAGAGAGGTGCTGAAATTCCAAACCGTGCTGCAAAGTGCCTTCAAACTGCAGCTTCACAGGACTTACATCAATTCTCACAGACATGCACCCTTAATTTTTGGACTCTTGTGTACATTTTTTTTTTTTGCACTGTCCGTAAAGGGGTTGTGCTAAGCCTGAAAATGTGGAGGTTTACAATTTGTTTGATTTTAAGTAGTCCAATAAAAGGTATCATCCAGCCAAGTGGAATAGGCAAGAATGCATTTGTACCAGAAGGGAGCAGCAGTGATGCAGTGGGGCCACTAGTCCAGTACAAGTGTTGCCAGCCTGTTCAAGAGGGGACACCATCTTGTCCTTCACTGCAGGCAATGAGTGTCTCAGGCTAGCCCTGCCACAGCATCATCAGTGTGCATCATGATGCCTATGTAAGCCCATATTGGTTTCTGAATTTATTATGAATCAGAATTATATTTTTGGTACACTGAATTAAATACTTAGCAATTAATTCCACAATCTCTGTTACCAAGTGAACAGACATGGGTCCTTTGATAGGATCTACATCTTTAATGACTACATCCCATCTTTGGAGAAACCAGATGGTCTGAGATGAACGTATTTCCCACATAATAGGCAGTATTTTTCTCTGCTCATCAAAAAGTATATTTTCACATGCAACACTGGAAACAGTTAAAGCTAGGAATCTATTGCTTATTCAAATATATAATAAAATTCCCACTCTCAACAGCAGGGCTATGACACTTAGTATATAAATAAAATTTAGATAACAATATATTGAAACTGTTGAGACATTTTTGAATGTTTTGATCTAAAAGGAAATCTCTAAGCTTTTGTCAACAGAACAATGTACAATAATTTAACAATGTATTCTATACTGGTGGATGACATATTTGAGTAGATTGTTTGTCTGGAAATATATAGAGTTGTTGACTGTGCAAGAAACATATTACAAGAACAAGAGGATACATATGTTTCCTGCTCAGTCTTGGACTATTTACTTTCATTATTTGAAGGATGCAGCAACACTAAAAATATTTGCAATTGTGAATAAACGTAAAGAGGCCATTCTGTTCGGCAAGGCTGGTCTAAGACATTTTGGTGTGGTATGTCTCTCTCCCCCACAGGTCAAAGAGAGGATGCTTAGCATCCAAGAGCAGTCATATTATTTTGGCACCCAATAGGGAAAAAAAAAAACCACCGCTGTTGCTACTGCTCCTATTGAATACATTTATTCTTGGTGTTGTTTAGCACAGCTGTGAAAAGTCACATTTTTGTCAACGGTTCTTGAAATATCATATGACCATGTTGGCTGAGGTATTTTTGAAGTTGTTGTCCAAAACAAAAACTTTTCCCAGCTTTGTTATTTAGTAACCTTGCAAAGTTACTGTTTAGTAATTTTGTAACTATTTAGTAACTTCGTGATTTAGTAAACTGAAGTACAGTACTATGTTCGGGTGCAGCACAATGTGCAGCTTAATTTTTCCGGGAAGCTCAAGATACACAAAGTTGCAGCTCTCTCCTCTCTGCTTTATGGAGTGGAGACCTGGACTGTCTATGGACACACCGTGCCAGAAGGCTGAACATCTTGTGGCTTACCTTTCTTCAGAGAAACCTCAACATCAAATGGTAGGTCCTGGAACAAGCA